AATTCTAACCCCTCTGAGACGCTATTTCCAGCATTTTGAGCCCTAAATTTTTCTTTTCTTTGAAGCTAAGTTTAATGCTCCTTCTAGAGTTTCGTCTATGAATTCTTCCAGTATGAAACAGAACCGAACGGTCATTGTGTGTCATTTAGGGAATAACACCCTCCTTCATCTCAGCAGTTTGTGTTCAATTTTTAGATCATCATACAGAAAACTCTTGCTGTCATGTCCAATGTTTCAATGGACTGAGTAGGCAGAGGCGGCGACAGAAAATCTTGACCGTCAGTGGGGGGCGAGATTTGTATGGAACCCACTATCGAGCGCCGAAGGCGCGGCGAACCTAGGGGGGTCCGGGGGGCATGCCCCACCGGAAAAAATTGAGATTTTAACCCTATGAAACGTGTTTTCCTGCATTTTCGGGGGGAAATTTTGCTGCTACATGAAGCTAAATTTCTAGTACTTTGTAGCTAAGTTTCTTACTCGCTATTCGACTGCATGACGTCCACGAACTTCTTCCACAATACACAACGGGGATCGGGGCTTGCTCCCCGGGAAAATTTGAAAATCTCGACCCGGGAAACGCCATTTCCTGTATTTTGGGAACGCATTTTTGATGTTTTGCTAGGTACACATTTCGTCTATTCGTCAATCGAATTTCAGTTCGCCTCAACCAAGGACATTACAGAAGATTTCTTAGTAGGGCATTCTGAGATCGGACAAAAAATGTTGAGTCAGTCCTTGGTTCAATTAAAATTACCTTGAATGGTTTACTCTCGTCGGCTCCGAGAAATTCGAGCGGCGCGGTGCGGGACTAGCAGCGGGCCGGGAATATCGATGCATACACGATTCTACACACGTGAAAAATACTGTTGTGCTGTTGGGAAGGGCACGGTGTGCCGCGAAAATAAACTGCATGTTGTCTTCAGAAGAACTGGATTTTATTTTTACCGATATCGTTACGAAGGGGTCAGCAGAACAAACTCTCACAGCGTGAGAAACTAGTGCCATATTCCTCAGTGAGTAATACGTAATGCACAGCTGATAAACCAATCAGAGCGCAGATTTTCGGGGGTAAACCAATCAGAGCTTACAACTCGCGGTAATACCTACATGTAGAAGACGGTGTTCGTGTGATTTTAGATTTCTAGTGGCCGCGCAGCGCGGAAAATGCGTTTTACAAGTGTTTTTAAGGTAGAAATCGAACTGTTTGCTGGCTTTTCCTAACATCTAGAGAAAATACACTAGAATTTCAGCATGATTTTTGGGGGGGCGACGCCCCCCCCAATATTTTTTTTTTGGGGGGGGGCGCCCCCCTTGCCCCCCCGCTGCCGCCGCCACTGCAGGTACAACTTGTATTCTCGTAGCCACTTTTACAACATGGGAAAAATATTTTACAAGACGTTTGAAAAAGTATGGATACATAAGAGACCTAGCGTGAGTCAAACCTCCCATCCCAGAAGAAGAAGAAAAGCATAAGACGTACAGCGCACTTTTTTGTTTCCCATTAAATAAATTTTAAAAGACATGACGCAAGTTTGATTGGTGAGAAGTTGTATGAACTGTCTCGTTAAACCCACAGATCCCTTGGTTTTGAGTTACAGAACACTGCATGATCGAATTTGCTTAGTTCCGGTCCGGTTTTAGTTCCGCCGGAGTAAACCTAGGGCACAGAGCTTTACGTATCCATAATGAAGTTACAGTAGTGGTGGGAATGGCCACCATGTGAGATTTGTATCATAGGATCAGAACACGGCAGGTAATCTGCAGACTTTACACTGAGAAACAACTACCCAATGGGTGGGCTCTATCCACACAAGAGGGCCACGACGTGACGTGCTAATTGCAGTTTGTAAAATGAACTATAAGGTTTCTGATTGTTATGAATGTCCAAATTGTTTTTGAATGTACCCCCAAAAAACTGATTGCATTATTTTTAGGCGTGGTAAAGTTGGTAAGCCATGGCCGGCTGTTTTTTTGTACTAGTCCGCGAGCAAGGGTGATGCGGTTTTGTCGTCTGATGACCCCGTTCACCCAATAGTTAAATGCAATCTCAATGTCACTAGCGTCATCGGAGATCAAGGAAAAGTTATCACTTTAAGGAATCCCTTTTTTCACTTTTCAGAAAGATGAGTTTAATAATAGTTGTAAGCTTTTTTTCAGTATATAATCCATTGCCCAGGGAAAATTCTTTTTTCTTCATTGCAGCTCCATTAAAACAAGTGTAAAAGAACGATATTTTTGGATCCAAAAGTAACATTTTACTAGATAAAAATTGTATACCTGTATACTACACGTTCTTCCCAAACTAAAGAGTCAACAGGCGAAACCTAAAATTCCATTAGAATTCGGAAGCCATGGAACTGAAAATCTCTATTCACTGATATAAGGTTGAGTATTCGGACGCACTTTTCTAGGTGGAATTGTAGCCCTTCGGCCTAAAGAGTTACCTGATTTGTACACAGAATAATTGTTGTAGACTATGTGAGTTTGTATATTTTCTTTATTCCATATATATATATATAGATGCAACAACACCAACTATGTGAATATAGTGTCCACAGTGTGCAAGGATAAACTACTATCACATACAAACAGGAGGAACACATTGTAGCTGATGAACACATATAGTGTGTGTGCTACAGTTTACATTCTGATAACACGCTGAAAGGGGAAAATGCATTCTGTGTTGTTTTTATGATTTCATGAAAACTGTTCAGCTTTCTAAAAAGTTTCAAGATCCTCTTTGAAACACGCTTCACGAAAATTGATGCTGTAGAATCTGTGACAAATCTTGCCTGCCTTATGTAAGTTTTTAAAAGCTGCAGTTGCACATTTATTTTTACTCTGGGAATGGAAGTTTGGATTACATTTATTTTGTAAAAACGCGATACATTTTGTAAATAGTCACCGGCTTTGTTTACCATGATATTCAAGTTGTGTTCACTTTGGCCAGATAAAAGCTAAACTAACAAACCTCAATAAACATATTTCACCAGATATCTTTCGCAGTATTTGACCAAGGCTTTAAGAATATACAATACATATGAAGTTTCAAGTTGAATGCCAGTCTGCATTGGTTTTGAAAATTCTCTCAAACTTCAAGTTAAACAAAATCTTTCAAACAGACAATTGCAATTACAGGTCTATTCAAATAGGCCTCTGCCAAAGGATGCAACAATACTGCACACTCATACAGTATAATAGCTTCTTAAATGTATTATAAAAGCAGCATGATGCGTGGAGAAAATGTTGGCCCTCTTTACGAGAAAGGGCTAGGGCTCTCGGCCTGCTTTCTTCCGGAGCGCCTCCTGGCGGAATTCCTGGACAGTACATTCCGCCAGCCGCTTGCTCTGTCCCGTTCCATTGAAGCCTGTAGGTAGAACATGGAGACCCCGGTATCAGTAACATTGGAGGGTAGTCGTAAACAAACGGTACAGAAAAGTTGCCTCTATGTACTTAGTGTTATTTGTTTAGGAATATTAGCACCTTAGCCAACCTAAGGAAAACAAATAAAGACGTGTGCTTTCTGCGTGTGGCCTATACTCTCCAAGCAGAGGTTTTGGGTTATTTTTGGCGTGTTTGGGGGCTTTTTTTATCGGGGTTTCTTTTTTGCACTGGAAGGCCCATCACCCTTCACTTAACCGCGACGGGGGCCGACATCGTCTACAAGATACCTTTGACCCAGTGTTGACGTCACACTACAAAGCAGCCACGTGAGGAGCCTCACTGGGTCAGGCCACTGAGAAAGACTAGAGTGACTGGTTGAAAGCTCTAGGTGAAAGAACTTTTCGTGTTGGATCAAAAGTTTTAATTTTAAACATCCATAGTTTGAGTTGTCGTGCTAAACCCCCCACACACAAACGCCACCAAAAACGTAACCTTCTTGGCGAAGATAATGAAATAAAACGAAGTGAAAGAGCTGTTTTCCTAGCGCCTACCCTAGGAGACGTCAGACTCATCGATGTCTCCACCATCCGGCGGGCGGTGTCCACGTCCTCATCGTCCGAGTCTCCGGTACTCAGGTACCCGCCTCCAGACTTCAGCACTACGGACTTGGACCGCCGGTCCTTACGGTCGTCTATGTCATGGTACGATACTGCCGGCTTGTCGCCAAGATTCTGGAAACAGAACGTTTTGACATGTTACCGTAGTAACGGTTTTCAATCCATCCTTCCATCCATCAATCAATCAATCAATCAATCAACAACCGACCAATCAACGCACTTAATACCACAACGATAGACCGATCCTAAAGCCCCCCAAAACGTGGAATTGCAAATATTTGACGAACATGCAGCCACTCTCTCATTGGTCAAACCGCTAATTGCCGGTCTCTCATTGGTTAAACTGCTAAACATTCAGGATCGGTTGTGGTGGATACAATGTATGGTATGTCGATGAAGTTTGATATGCAAGATCGAAAAGAAAACTGTTCCTCGAGTAACTGTAACGTTATAGATTTTGAAAACTGTCAGATGTTTCAAGCTACTTTTCGTTAGTGACTAACGTAATCAGGTATTTCTTTTCATCAACTGATAATATTTTTTTCGTACCTCGAAATCCAGTTCATTCCAGCCCTTCTGGAACTTGGTGTCCAGGTGCAGGGGTGACTTGAGGCGGGGCATGTGGTCACAGTACGTGCTGGGCCACACGCGCTTGGTGACCGGGAGGAGCATGTCTCTCTGCCGCCGGGGAGAGATGGAGCGAGGCGTGGTTCTCTTCTTCCTCATGTCGTCTGGATCTTTAAGGTAACAAGGAAAACAAAACATGCTTTAGTATTAGTATAGCCTCATGTGCAGCGGTGTACAACTGTTTCTATGGCTCTGGGCGCGGTGGTACGTTCATTAAGTTTCTTGCTAGTTAGTTTTTTCATCTATAAATTTATCCAGACAATCCAAGGCCGTGCTTATGTGAAGTTAGCCACGGCGCTTTTAAGTGGCTCCATCTGAACGCTCCAAATCACATTGAAAGCGCCTCGATCCCAAACCACTTCTAGAGGTGGTTTCGAATCGGTTTCCCCGGATCGCGATTTGCGTCTGAGCGCAACGTGATTTCAATGTAACTTCGCCTGGTCATGGATTACGGGGTAATATTTCTTCATTTATATGCAATACCAACTTTCACGTGGCAGCAACTTAAAGAGCAGTAATGGTCAAGTAATGTGTCCGTTCTAGGACGAGCTTTATTGTCTCCACCAGACTCCTTTGCAGGCTGAATAAATAGGCCGATTTCTACTATTTATTTTTTGTTGATCAGCCTGCAAAGGAGTCTGATGGAGACTACAAATGAGGGTTCAAGCAAGACTAAGAAAGCCTTAGAAATATATGTGGGGATTTGGGGGGGGGGGCTCACTTGCGATAATAAAGAATGTACATCTGTATCTGTGTATCTGTATAGCCGGTATAACCGCCCTTCGGCGTAACACACCAGCTTCGCAGGCACGCGGCGCGGCGGCAGCTGGCTACATTACACCGATCGACTTGTTACACCTAGCCCTTGGACATCTAACTCTAGACATTGTTTAAAGCTATCTAATGACAATGCCCCTACTGTACTTGGTGACAGCGAGTTCCACTCTGCTATAGTTCTAGGAAAGAATGAAGTCTTGAACACCTCAATCCTTGGTAAAGGCTTGAAGGCATGGCTATTTCTTGTTCTCTTCTGGGCTGGTATTAGGTACTTACTAGTAGTTATTGGGACGTCTACCAGTTTATTAGTCATTTTGTACATCATGCATAGTCTGGACATTTTTCTTCTGTCTTCCAGCTAGTGACACCCACCTATGTGTGACCGACTTTTACAGAGGTATACTAGAGTCAATTCCGCGTCACCGAGTGGGTTGTTATTGTCATTATTTAGAAATGTTTTGAATTCTTTGTAATTTTTTGTCTAAGAAATTTCATAATTTGGAAATATTTTGAACATCTTGTCAATATTCTAAATAATTCCCTGGTTTTCTAAAACGTTTGAAATATTCCTGATGTGGATTATGACATTTCCAATAGTTTCTAAATATTTCTAACAGCACTCTACCATTTTTTACCATTATTTCGAATTATTTCTAACATTTTGTAAATAGGTCAGTGGGATGGGAAGGAAGTAATTCACACATCCCTGTGAAGTACAGGGCGGACTGCCTGAGTGTCAGGCATTGATGCCTTACAACAAAAGAGCCACCAGTGTCCAGCAGTGAAATCTAAAAATATACAGAAGAAGACAGAAGAGTAGGATTAGCACCTACTTTTATGGGGGCAATTACCCACATCTACCATTTGGTTATTTGTTTGAAATAGTTCTAAATATTTCGAATTGTGAAAGAAACACATGGGTAGTTCAAATTTATTCTAAAGAAAGAGATCTTTGTACAGTCACATTCAAAATGTTTCAGAAATATATAAATGAATTCAAATATATTCAAATTTTCATTTTCAAATTTTTGAAAAATTTAGAACTTTTGTTACTGGGGTATTCTTTTCTTCTAAATAATTCAAACGTATTAGAAACATGGAGAGAAAACCCACTCGGTGACGCGGAATGGACTCTAGTACGTAAACGTAATCATACAATACTTAGTAATACAATAGAGGTGAGAAACCCACAATAGCTGACATAATCCCCGTGTGTATCAAACAAAAGTCCCCATGAAACCGCAAACGTTACCGGGGAAACTTGCACCAAGCGACGTGGACGTAGTTATCGTCTAATATTGCACTATATATAGGCATAACAGACCAAGTATGCGACCCTTATTCTGCCAAAACAAAATGATTGAATGAACGGAATATAGAATAGAAAAGAAAGAAATCAAATAACGTCAAGTAACCCACGCCTCTTTATGTTTGATAGGAACTTAAACAAATGCCGACGTGTAAAGACAACGTCAAGTTCTTTGTAAAGGCTTGTCTGGGCTGTACAAAAAGCTGGTTTATTTATAGAATCAATGTCAAGTTCACCTGTTGAATGTCAACGTAAAAAGCATTCGAATGTTTCGTAGCTTTGGGTTTTTAGATAGTTCAACAGCTGAATATGATTCATATGCATTGTGAGATTATAAAATTGGTAAAATATGGATTTGTATCTGTATAGCCGGTATCTTCGACGTAACACACGAGCTTCCACAAAATACTCCTACATAGAAATGCATTCTATATATGGTTGGGCAAAGTTAAGGAAAAATACACAGATTGAACGAAAGGTGAAATGTTCTGGGGGCTTGAGCTAAAACAGCCGGAGTTCGGAAGACTAGTTTCAGACTTCGTGCACACTACTGACAAGACAAGAAAATTCTAGCCTCCACCACCAGGCCTTCCTAAGAGGTTATAGATCGGGAAAAGTAGGGTCATTTTGGCCTCGTATGATTCTATTTATGATAGAAATGAACTCTATGGTGACAGGTCTCCCCTTGGCAAGTTATTTTTTCTCGGCCCACGTTATTATATTCTGGTCGAGACCACGAAAACTCCACCAAAACAGTAGATACTGCTTCTTCGAACTAGCATGGAGGTAGAATTCTACATCCATGGAACTTGTCAGAGCTATATATAGTCAACACCGAAAATGCATGAAATGCACCTACCTGTTCTCAGACTTGACTTGAATGCGTGGTTTTATTTTTCTGACAGTCGTTTTTATAAATTTTTTTCTGGCGCATAACGTCACTGTTATGACTACGCTTATAGCTTGTGAAGATTTTCGTGGCCATTCAAGATCTCTCAGAAACAGATGTACGTATGTAGACAACATAAGTGCAGATTGAATCTACAAACAACCACTACTTACCTCTAAACCGTGTCCTGTGGTCTTCCTCTAGTGTTTTTCGTCGTGTCTAAACAATTTGACAAGTCGGTTTTGTAGAGTTTTTTTTTCTGATGCAAAGCGTCACTGTTATGACTACGCCAGTACTTCGGATACTTCCGAGTCAAGATAGAATCTACAATCTGAAGATAGAATCTACAAAACAATCAGTACTTACCACTATGCCGTGTCCTGTGGTCTTCCTCTAGTGTTTTGTGGTCGTGTCCAAACTTACGTCCGAACCGGGCGACGCTTACAGTAAGTGTCTCTCTGTTGTGACTATGTCCACTGTCTGAACGTGCCTTGACTACCTGTCACAGTTGACAAGACTCCTTTGTGGGCGAAACTGACTATAAAAACGCTAGCACACGCCTGGACGACAACTAAAACAAAAAAACGGACTTCAAAAAGTTGTTTAAGTCCAACAAAAGTGCCGAACTCGTGAAGATCGTAGCAAAAACACAACTGGTGTAACAGCAGGGGTCCTTGAATGCGGAGCTAGCTGCTTCGCAGCTTGTCTAACTCGAGAAACCGGCTTTCCTACCACATCCGAGAAACAAGCGTCCCTGTGGCCTGTTACACCGCCGGAATATTTTGTCTATTAAAGCGAAGTGTTGCCGAACGCCCGGCCTTTAGGGGACAAGGGAAGGCGATAGGAGGTACAGCGGGCATCGCTCAATGTGTTTCCCGAAGCGTGATACGTCCGTATTCACTATGATATAATGCAAGAACAGATCACATATCATAGGTCACCTTAAAGGGACCAGGTTAAGCGGCAACTGTAGCGTTACGGTGGACACTTGTTAAGTCCGGCGGTCAAAAGATTCGCGATCAATTACGCCCTTAAGAACACAGGGTCTAACTTAGGTGTAGGGTTTCCTGACGCGCGCGACTTTGTTAGTAGCACAACAAAAAACGACAAGAGAAACGACAAGCTCTTCTAGACTTGGCTGTCAACCGGGCGTTTTGTGTTGTCAATAGAAATCCTTTTGGAGAATTTTCCAAGGGGCTTTAAACAGCTCAAGAGCGATCATAAATGGAGTCCTTAAAACTTATTGTATATACCGTTTCTTTTTGTGTACAACCTTTTAAAGGTAAAGGGTGGTTATGTAACATTTTCGCACCAAAAATTGAAATATTTTACTTAAAGTCTTCATGTGGCTGTCGTCACTTGGTGCCACCTTAGTAACAATCAACATATTCGTGCAAGTATTCCCCTTTTTGGACATTTATGGTTGGCACTAAATCAGCACTCATTTTGGCACCACCACAAAATATCAGAATGTAAACAAACATGGCAGAAAGCCGTGCTTTCAGCTTTTAAACACATTCGTAGGGTGTAATATTTTGGTACCATCACCTCCTAAATATCACTTGATGCAATGGAGTAGAGTTGATTCAACTCACTATATATGGCGAAATTACCAGAAAATTGTCTTTTTGTATCGCCCTAATGTTATATGACGCAGCTTTAAAAAAGCAGATGATTCAGCACTTACACTCCAATACTTGATCTAACCTATAGACAGAAACGTGGTTCTAAAACTAAGAAAGGTTTGTCTCAACAGAAAATCTTAAAACTGTACCACGTCTTTTGCTACCATTCAATTGTACGGCATACCGAAGAGAGCTAAATTTATATCTGCCAATTGTTTTATTCCTATTAATAGATCGAAAGCGAAGTCGCCCTATTTCCTCTCTATTGTGTGGTATTGTGCAGTCTTTGTTTTCTAAACACATCCATCGTATTTACATAGGCGTTTTAAATGGACTAGATGATGATGAGCCTGTTAGTGAATGAATGAAAGAACTTAACTGTACATTTTTGCTCATTGCGAACTAAGTACAGGTCACGGCAAATAGCGATGGTAGACTAAAATATATCTATAGTAAAACTACATATGTACAGGTTCTGCTTCTTCTCGCTTCTTGAGACAGTTGTGAATGTAAGAACAGATGGAGCTTATAGCACGAGGGTTATCGAGTTTCATGAGAAATGTGAATTTTTCTTTTCTATCTAAAATTTTAAAACTAGGGAAATAATCTTGTATTTTTGTAGCATGGTAACAAAAGTGTGGTCAAGTCAGAGGGCACACTGCGCTCTAACAAACACACTGTACAACCAATCGTTCCACCGAACGGCTTGAAAATATGCTTAAAGTTAACGTATAGATGACCTTTATTCTATCTTTTCACAACTTTACGACCCATATACGTGTACGTAAAGATTGACTTGATGTATCCTTTTTTTGCCGGGGCATTTTCCTTGACTTTCCTATTTTCTAGATTGAAAAATCTGGTGGAGACTAGGAATTACTTAGTTAGTATTTGGGTTAGAATCTACATTTGCTTAATCAGAAAGGAAAAAAAAACTTTACGTTAACAAACGTAGTACAAATTGAACACATCGGACTAATCGGACTTTCTGTAACGCCCAGGAAAACTAATTTTGAATTTCCGGCTTCATCCCGAAAAAAAAATATACAGGTCGGATTTATCCTTGTTTTCTTTGGAAAATGCATGAAGTGAAATTTTAGAGCGTTTTGAATTCAGCTGTCAGATCGAATTCGAAAATGGCATGGCCTTTGCCAGCGGTCGACTCTAAAAAGGCTAGGGTCGGAGGTCTTTGTTTTTCTTAGATTTGGCCGTGAAACAAGAAACACAACATTTTACCCAGGCTTAAATGTATCTAATTCAGTTTTTAGGGCTTGCAAACCTGATTTTTCTAAGTCAATATTCCAGTCATTTATCTACATACTGAGTTGAAACTACACTATCCAAATGTATATTGACCCTCATGGAGCAACAATTCCACAAATTCTGACGGAAAATGGTTACTGGAAGGGCCCTTGGGTGATTTCTACGGTACCGCCCATAAAATAAAGGACTCATCTTGGGGCTTGTTTATGCAGTTTTGAATACCCGAAGTATGAAATACTGATTGAAATGTGCTAATGTGAAGCAGTATGTGTCAATATCATAAAGATTGCCTTATTCAGAATATTTCAGTTTTGCTGCACTGAAATCGCCCTAAAGTTAACGTCAGACACAACTTACCTTCTTCAACACCTTCAGCCATTTCTTACGGAGCATCCCGTACCCGTATCACCTAGAGACAGAGATATAACCAGTGACACCTCACCTTTTATAGGGCAGGAAGGATTAACGTATTGTATTACCTTCTGTAGTTGTCCTGTTTCAGTTTTCTTCTGTAGTGTTGTCTGTCAACCTAGATTTATGTGCATGTATCAATATCTAGTAAGGATTGAGTGATGGACCGGGTAGGCCACACCGACTTAATTTTATGGATGGCATTCCCGCGCGCATTGATGTTCGCCTGTTCTCGAAAAAAGTCCATGGTAGTTAGCGACAATACGGAGCCGGTGGTAACTCTGGAGGATGGCACCCAAGCTACAGAAGCTCCACGACTCAAGAACTCATGAGTACATACATGTGTACGTACAGTGCCGATTCATAAATTCCGCAGAAAGCCAGCATGTGTCGGCTTGTCGTATTTGTCGCTATGTACTACCGTAAATTCATAGTGCCAGCTTTGTATTTCCAGTGGTTGTATTCCAGTAGCATTTTCATTTTTGGCCGGAATTTGTTTATTCGCCCGCGCGCACTAATTTGGGGGTCTTCCGAGGATGTCATCCATAGAATTAATACGGTGTGGCCTTACATACATACCTGTAGCCAGGATTTTGGTAGTGGTGGTGGTATTTTAATTTCTTCCTACTGTCTGAGTGCCATAGCTGCGAGCTTCCTAGAGGGGTCCGGGGGCATGCGAAAAATTTTGAAAATTGAACCTTCTGAAATGGTATTTTCTGCTTTTTTTAGAGGGTTTCAAGGGGAAAATCAGAGATTCCAGCCCCGCTGATGATACAAATCAGTCCATTGTTTAAAGAAAAATCTTGGACCTTTAGATAAAAAGTGGACCACGTCGTGTGATCATTGTACGACGTTGTACGTTGTACCATCGCAAACTGAGGACATTCTATATATAAAGATACATTGTAGTTGTGCATTTGTCCTGCAAAATTAAACTGTCTTACCACGGAAGAGGCAGTGTCTCACATCCTTGTCGATTGGTTCTGGTTCACACCCTGCTTGTTCCACTGTGTCATAATCGCACGACAACTTACGACAAACATACAATAAACGTACAACAAACTTACGGCGAATGTGGGATTACAATCAGAATCGTACAAGTTACGACAAACATACAATAAACGTACAACTAACTTACGGTGAATGTGGAATTACGATCAGAATCGTACGACAAGTTACGACAAACATATACAATAAACGTACAACAAACTTACGGCGAATGTGGGATGTGACCGCACCGTAACCAAAATCGTGGATGTCCGTTGTACGAAATGTCGATTCGACCTGGACACCCAATTTTGCTCTGCCCGCTTTATGACCTGTCATCTATCACATTTAATTTGTTGATCTGTCATCCCAGAGGCGATAGAAGATGGTCTCAATAGCGAGGCTATAAAATATTCAGTAAGCGGAATGTAAATGTGGGACGGTGATGTTTTGTTATCGACATAACGAGCACTTCGGCATAACGTACTGCGCCTGATTTTTCACGGAGGTCAACGTTGAATCAGAAGTTTGCCCAATTGCAAACGATATCCTTTCCCATAAGTTACAGCATTTGAAAATTATAGGTGGAATTCTATCTTTAAATACGCGAATACGACTCGAGCTTTTAATAGGTCTCATTCCTCTATTACTAAGTACTCCGATCCGAGTGTATACCCCTAAACTAGTGCCAACCCAAAAAGTAAACGGCTGTATGAAAGTGTGTTTATATAATAGATATTTGGGAAAATTTCCTTTTAGTCAACCCAACGGATTTGAAATATCAATGTAATGAAAGCTTGTCTGTAACTGAGGAAATTATTAGGACGTCTCGCAATTGGTCGGATGTGGACAGTCTGGTGTTGTGAGTAGTGCGGTGCGAAAGGGCCTCTTGCGGGGAGCCACAAAAGTGCAGTTTGTAATTGCCATAAAAGGTACTACCCACTACCTTGTCTCCATAAGAAATTCGACCTCCCATTATCAACATTTAGATAGTAAAATGACCAGCACACATATGGCTTGCTTCAATGTGCCATATTTAATTTTCAAGACTTCAAACTGAAGTTAGAAATGAATAGGAATCCTTGATTAGAGCAACATACATGCACATGTATCTACATGGAACCAAGAGTGGTTAATATGGAACATCTGAAACAAGTGAAACGTTAACTTTGAATAAGAAAATATAACATCTTTGAATAGTTCAGGCCTTTCCTACATTTTTATGTCACACAAGAATTCTCTGTTGGTATACACAAAAACCATTTTAGCCAACAGAATCTTATATCATACTGATTTCTTCTCAAGAGAAACTATAAAGTAATTTATCATGTAGCAACATAAGACAGAAAAAAAGCTCTGAGAGGAATCTTTTACGTTCTTTTGGCAAGCTGACTTAAATTTTGGCCTTTCCTTGTGATTTTCAGTGACAAATCTGACAACAAAAATATGGACTTATTTCCATAGCAACATAGCTATTTTTGGTATCATAACTTAATATGTCTAATATACCATTTGGAAATAGATAAGGATAGAATTAAAGTTCAATGATAATAGTTGACACTATGAAGATGACTGACTCATTAGTTGAAGTTATGATTAGTACAACCGGTATTAGTACATAAAAAAAAATCTCTATGGCTTAAATTTTTGTGCATCCTTCATTGTATGTCTCTTATAAAGACTTAAACCATAAAATATTTGGCTATAAGAAAACGTGGTCTTTTGGCTGCAAACATCTATAAGAACTTTCCACATTCAGTTGTCAACAGTTTGTATGCTATCGATTCCTCAGTCTTTTTCACTTCCTTCTGAAGACAGTATATCCCTGATGGTCCGACGTTTCTTGTGCTTCCTCTTTCCCTCACCAGGGGGCGTGATTTCACTGGTGTCATCTAAGGCCCTCTTGAGTGGAGTACCCCCCTGTGACGGGCTGCCTAGCTCCTCGGAGCCCGAGGTCTTCTTCCCGGTTTCGTACCTGTCGTATTTCTCGTAAACCGGCGCGTCGTTGTCAGACTGACTCAAGTCGACATGCCCCGCCTCCTTAAGTGCCTGTGCACTCCCTCCGACAGATCTTAGTGACTTCTCTGGAGAAGACGCGAGTAAAGTCTTCTGGCCAAGACTGCCCTTCAGTGATAATATTCCACCGTTAGTGACACCAGGCTCCGCATCGCCAGCCTGAGATTCGGCCGTGCTGTTGCATGCTGGTCCAACTGCCTCCATCTCTGGTGCGGAAGCTTTGTCGTCGACGTCCCAACCGGAAGTGTCGGCAATTTTCTCGTCTGTTTTCCCCGCCGATCCGTTTTGCAGTGGCTCCTCATCTTCATTACCCTCCTCTTCTTCTTCTTCCTCTTTCTCATCTTCATCTTCTAACGTGACATGCGCCACCTTCCTCTTGGTATATTTCCGTTTGAAGCGTACAGGCGGTCTGGCCGCCAGCCTTGTGCTCCTCCGCCGAGTTTCGTCTCCCTCTCCATGGAGCTCATTCTTCTGACCCCTGCGGCTCCTTCTCTTCACCTCTTTTCCACTTGTCGAAGGCTTTACTGCAGGTGGCTTTTCTTTAGTCTCCGTCACAGCCTCTTTCCTCTTCTGGCTGGCTAGTTTGTCTCTCTTGTTTTTGTGGAAGTTGAGATGGACGTGTTTCCTGCCCTTCTTCCCCGCTTGTGAGGGATTCACATCCACGGTGACTGTGGACAGCAGGGCAGGCCAGAGGAACAGGGCCTCAAACCTGCAGAAAGGAGTTCAAACATTGCTTGAGTAACCTTAGAGAGACAATTGTACTGCTACTATGCTGTTAACTATGCCCTGATTTTGAAAAATTATGAAATGTACCATCCAAAATAAGAACGTACCGGGTGGATGTTGGGGCCCCCAAAAAGTAAAATACAGGTACCTTTATTTGGGACGCAAGAGTATGGCTGTTCTATAATCTGTGTTGCCTACAGCTAGTATGTTACTTGTCTAATCATTTTTTGACATACATGTACATGTACGTGTGTGTGTACAGCGTGTCATGCTACTGGTATCATTTCAAAGGAAACAACTGATAGATTCAAAATTTTGCTTTAGCTACTAGAGTATGAAAAGAGATGTAGCAAAATGGACTAACTAGCTCCATTTCTGAGGCATTCCCAAAAAGAAGAGGTGCGAAGATTATACTTTAAATTATAAGCACTTGATTAGCTTGGTGTTCAAAGCTATTTTAGCTGCAGAGTCTAAAGTAGCTTTGGAGACAAGGCTTACACTTTATGATCAAGCAATATCCTACTCTTGTGTTGTCCTTGGTAGAATGTGTCTATATACTACTTGAGTTAATATCTGAATGCATTGAACATTCTTAGTAAATGGGGGAAAATGTAAACAAAGGGAACAAATATTTTGACAAATAAGTCTGGAACTGACAGCAACTGTCTGACCTGTTTTTCAGCATCTTGTAACAGTAGCTGTCCTTGTGCGGGTTGACAGCAGAACTGGGCAGCCGGGCGGAGGGCTCTGGCCTGCCTACATGAAGAGTGAACAACATTTCAGCAAAGTTACAGAAATGCCTAACTCAACTGAAAAATGAGATACCAAAACTAGAAATCTTGCTGCAATACAGAAGAGCACTGCTAGGGGTCCAACACCTTGTAACTTCTTTGATGGGTTAAGACCTAAACACATGCTGAATCTAATGAATCCATATAGCTTTTTGAATTACATGTATATTGCTGATTCAGAACCACCTACTACCGAACGCTACCAAAACATAACCCTCTAAGCAGATAAATGAAGTAAAACAAGACTGGGCTATTTCAGAGAGTGGGTTGATACTATACGTAACATTTTAATTTGAATTGCAACAACAGAATACATCATGGATTACGATGTAGTATTGCTGATGTTGGGCACCCCACATGACAAGACGTTTTCGCCGATATGTCCTCTAGCCTTCCTTTATGTGGTTTAGCTTATGATACAAACAAATAAGTACCTGGTCTTGGAGAAGTTTCACTGCCAGAACCGTCAAAACCAGCCCAGCCTGAGTGAGATGGTGTAGCAATGGCAGCACCTTGGGTCTGGGGTCTTGGCCCTTTTCCTGGTCCTAGTCCTAGCCCTGGGGCACACAGACGAAAAAGGTTGGTATTAACTGTTGGAATGATTATGAGGTCTAAAATTTTGTAGTATTGTTTTGGGTGGTGCTGATTTCGGGGGAGTTTGTATGTATCTTGTGCTGAGCAGTGTGGATTGTGAGCGGGCAGAGATTGGTTTTCAGTTGATTGACAGGGTTCTGCCATGGGTGGTAGGATGTGGTATGAAGTTGCCAGGAAAGTGTACTGTGTACTCATGAAATGAAACATGAACCATAGTGTAATACCGGAGTAACAATCCATTCGATGTGTCATTTGCTTGAGTATCTCGATTCTCAATGATACAATACATTTCCAATACAGTCACAAAAACCCCACTTCCCAAACGATTGAAAATCTTGTCAAAGTTACACCAAATGTACTTTTACTATGACAACCTACTCATGCATGTCTATTCTATCACCATCCAAAATACATGTACTAATGATACTTGCACAAAGTTAATGCATCCTTGGCATCTATTTGACAGATAGATAAAGTTGTTTTTTTGTATCAATAAACACACCTGTATTTCTCGCTGCCCTGGCAGATATCAGCTTCTCAAACCCGGCCACCAGTTTCTTACGGCCCAACAACAAGGACTTGAACCCGTTCAAGGTCGCCGAGTTTGGGGCCAGGAGTTTGACCTTGGAAACCTTCCTGTTGGTGGGCGCCCTCACGACCTTTGCCCTTTGCGGCGCGGGGAGAATCTGTACTGGGACGATTGGTACAGCAGGGGCAGCTCGGGCAACTATTGGGATGTTCTGGACGGTTTGTTTCGCAGCTAACTTGGCTGGCTGAAATTGGACGAACTTAGGCACAATTTGTGGTGTCTTTGTGGCAGTAGTAGTAGCAGTGGCAGTAGGTGTAGTAGTAGCAGTAGGTGTAGTAGTAGCAGTAGGTGTAGTAGTAGCAGTAGGTGTAGTAGTAGCAGTAGGTGTAGTAGTAGCAGTAGGTGTAGCAGTAGGTGTAGTAGTAGCAGTAGGTGTAGCAGTAGCAGTAGCTGTAGTAGTAGCAGTAGCTGTAGCAGTAGCTGTAGTAGTAGCAGTAGCTGTAGTAGTAGCAGTAGCTGTAGTAGTAGCAGTAGCTGTAGTAGTAGCAGTATATGATGTAGAAGAGCTTCGTGCTGGACTTGATGTTCTGGCAGATGCCCGAGTTTTCCGTTTAGGAGAGGGCGAAGGGACGCTGGTTGCAGTTGTGGGAGTTGTTGAATCTTTTTCTTTTGCTTCTTCGTCGGCAGCCACTTTTGCTGCTACCTGTGCCAAGCTTACCAGCCCTTCTGGCCTGTCGTCTTGCCCACTTTGTGAGGTAGCACCAGCAGTCACTTGTGTAGTGTTCACTGTGGTACCGGTCCCTTGTGTAGTGTTCACTGTGGTACCGATCCCTTGTGTAGTGTTCACTGTGGTACCGGTCGCTTGTGTAGTGTTCACTGTGGTACCGATCCCTTGTGTAGTGTTCACTGTGGTACCGGTGCCTTGTGTAGTGTTCACTGTGGTACCAGTTCCTTGTGTAGTGTTCACTGTGGTACTGGTCACTTGTGTAGTGTTCACTGTGGTACCGATCCCTTGTGTAGTGTTCACTGTGGTACTGATCCCTTGTGTAGTGTTCACTGTGGTACTGATCCCTTGTGTAGTGTTCACTGTGGTACTGATCCCTTGTGTAGTGTTCACTGTGGTACCAGTGCCTCCTGTGCTGTTTGCTGTGATACTGCTACTGCTAGCAATGGGGAGTGGAGCCCTTATGGTTTGTTGTACAACGCCACCTAGCTGTGCTGACTGGAAATGCGCAGCAGGCACTAGGGAAGGCGGTTGGACCATCTTCATCCCTGCAGGCAGCACGACCAGAAACTGGCCGACGTTTGCCGCCTTCTCCCCGGGTTTATCCGGCCTCCCCGTCAACATCACATTCACTACCTGAAACAGAGAGTAGGGAACTCAATGGAAAAATCAAAGGACATTCTCATTCAACTTTTTACATGCATGTCTTCTGTTTTCTTCTGTACAGTTACTATGCTACTTTACTCTAAAAAAAGTATACATTTAACTTGTATTTCTATTTTTAGAAGAGTAATCCTGCTTCCCTACCTGAGGGAGCTGGGCTGCTTGAGGTTTGGCTGTGCTGGAGACAGCAGTGCCCACAGGAAAAGCACTGGGTCCTGCTGGAGTACTGGGAACAGCAGTGACAGCAACACTGGGACTAGCTGTGCTAGTTTCTGTACCACTGGGACTATCAGAGGTAACAGTACTGGGAACAGCAGTGCTTGTGGCTGAAGCACCGGGACTAGCTGTAGTAACAGCACTGGGAACAGCAGTGACAGTAGCACCGGGTCTAGCAGTGGTGACAGCACTGGGACTGGCTGGAACTACAACATTGGAGCCAGCATAAGGAGCGAATTTCATATCAGCTGTGGAAACAGTACCGGGACCAGGTTTTGTATCGGCTTCGGAAACAGAAACAGCAGCTGTTGGGCTGTCTTTGTGGACAGCTTGAGTTCCCGCTGAAGCTGCTATCTGATGAACAGCTGTCTGTTGCATCTGTATTATATTAGCACCTGGCTTTCCTGTAGCTGGAACCTGGGTGACAGCTACAGGTAGCTGCTGCAGAATGGGTGCTTGTAGGATCTGAATCCCTTGAGCAGCTGGAGCTGGCGTTGCTGTCCTGACTTGTTGCAGGGACAGCGGTGTGGCTGGCCTTTGTACAAGTTGTCCAGGCTGGACTACAGTAAATGTTGGTACTACAGGAAGACAAAAAAAATCTTAAATTCAAGTCTGAAAGGTTTCTACATACATGTAGAAAAAAAATCCAAGCATCCTTCAATCAACAAAATGCTGGTTCAACATTTTTTCTATGAGCAGATGGCCAATGTATAGAAAAACACAATACATTTTCAGTTTTATCCTTGAATGCAATTTACAATAGAAAATTTCATTGTTGGCAGTCAAATTCTGTAATATCGCTTTATCAATTCAGTCTTTGGGCTGTGACTGTTGTGATATAGTTGATGTCATTATATTAGAACCATTACAAAACAAATCACTGACAGATGCTTTTTGTGTACATCAGATTTAACAAAACTCAATCAGCATGTTGTTAAATTTTCTAAAGACAGTCCTGTAATAGTGTAAAACAGCCCATATATGGTAGATGTTGAGCTGTCAATCATCAGTATATCCCGCCCACATTTCTCCAAATATGGTATCGGCATACCTGGGACGAGTACTTGTTGTATGACGGGTGGTTTGGGAGGTTTTTTCCTGCGTGCTTCCAGCCGGTCTTTGATTTTAGTTGTCTCGGTGATGGCGGCATGTTGTTTCTGACGTTCCTTGATCATACCCAAGGCACCGGGGATGTCTATGTGTAGGGCCTGGGGAAATGACAATATTAGAAATCAAGAGAAGCAAGACAAAGTAAGAATCTTGGACACAGAACCGGACTTCTTTGCATGAGGGATTAAAGAGGCCATCTACATCAGGGCATTACAACCATTCCTCAACAGAGACGGGGGGCGCCACAGACTTTCTGCAACCTATGATCCACTGCTCACGGAGTCACGTGTGTTATCTGCGTGACGTCAGGGAAGCGGTGGATTGCTCATTCCTTGACAAAGACTGGAGTTGTGCAGTTGAAAATTTGGGTGAGTCCAATTTGTTGTGTTGGAAATTGCAGTTTAAACTTGCTTCTAAATGATTTCTACCAGGTTGAACACAGATGAACTTTCAAGATAAGAAATCAAGAGATTTCAAACTTCTGTGAAGTATTCTGGATTTTTGGTACTGTATGAATCCATGGCCAATGGGAAATACCTGGTTGAATCATAGAATGGATTGTTACTCATATATGGCTTTATGTCGTAGCTTACATGTACATCTGCTATCAGACCATGATGGTTTATGTTTCATACCATGATTACTACACAGTACATATCATATCACATTGTACCACCATGCTGGATCACAACCCTGTCAATCAACTGAACCCCATAATGCTACCCAACCAGCTTAATTTTTTTATGAAAAAAATGTTGTACAACTTATTTTAATATTGCCACTTGACATAAAGTACACAATTACACACTGTACATTATACATATATATTCTTTTAAATTCATTTTTTTTTTTGTTTACTGACCTTGAGAAGATGGGTAAAGATAGGTTTACTGGGCGGGGCAGATGTAGCCAGCTTCTTCACCAACACATCTCCTGGGAGGGGCAGGAATATTGTACTCTTCATTAGTTTCCATTGAAGGCTTGCTAATTAGATTACATCTATAACATACATGTATATGTAAGAACACAGACTAGCTTTATAATGTAACCTCTACAATGTACCTTTTATCCCCCATTTTGCATATCTGACATTTGAAAAGATGTGTCAAACTGTTGTTAAAAGTGTCGCCTGACTTGGGTATACAATGTACAAAACATCATTTTAACTAAACAGACAAATGTAAATTGTTAATCCTGTTATCAACAGTAGAAGTTATTGTAATCTGACCATTGAAGCAACTGTTTTAATCCATTTCATCCTTAATTGATCCAGATTGTGACAGTTAAAAATTGCTCCTCCGTAAGCCCATACCACTTTCTTTGCACTTAGTCAAGCATCACCAAACAAAACTGCAGTGCTCTATCAGTAATCCTGACTTACTGTTTGTCTTGTGCTGCCGTGGCCGGCCTGACTTGGGTTTGAGGACAGGTAACAGTTCAGGCGGCGGCTGCAGGAGTTCCAGGATCCCCGCCTCGATTGTGTCTAACCTCGGGTCACGTCGCGGCACCCCTCCCCTGCTCTTTCTTGTCAGCTGTAAAAAACATCAAGTCTTTTCAAACTCTCTCTGAGAAATGAGCATGGAAGGATGAGAAGAAATGCTTCATTACGTTTACCGAAGGAAAACATATTGTATTTGCTCAGTTTCCTCTTCTCCAAACACAAAAGTCAGTGACCTGAACCAGACGTCTCTCACCATGGTAACTGGTGTTAGGTTACATCATGTTGCAATTTTATAGCAGGAGGGATTTAGAGTCTTGTCACCATATATATGTGTTGGAGTAAGAATTAACAGAACATATGTGAAGGTAAACATTATGCCTTTGCTTTGCAAATGTTACCTTTCTAGTTTATTACATATCCCACCGATGGAATACCACATGATGAGGAAACTTATCAAAAGAACTTGTATTTCTTGTGTAATTGTTACAGTATCTTGTATTCATCCTTTCTTGTATGTGATTTGATGTATAAATGTGAGGAAGAATAGGTACATGTACCATTTTACACCTTTGTCAAGGAAACAATGTCTTTGTCAGGAAATCATGCCAGGAATCAAACCCATGACCTCTCGATCTCATGTCTGCTAGCCTAAACCACTTTATTAGAAATTTGATGCCACGAGTTGAACTCAGCAGTAGAATCATCATTGTCCATTTAGTGAGACCAAATTTATAGAGGAAGTTTTGATTGCAAATGGAACATATATAAGTTAATGTGTTATAGTACATAGTGCAGGTATTTTTGTAAATGATGAAATGAACTCCAGTAGGAATAGTATTTTGCATTACTGATGATGAATGATATACAAACAAACAAACAAGAATGAGACTTACCAGTAGATAAATCTTCTGTGTTTTGCGATCCTCAGATTTCTGCTCGGGTTCTGGTTCCTGATTAGCCTTGTTTCTCTTCTTCTGCCTGTAGATCTCAATCAGACGGTAGATTTTCTCTTTGTTCGGCTTCTTGTCCCCCTGTTGGTGTGCAAAAAGTAGGGAACAAACAGTTATCTTACCTTCATTTGCATATCAATTGATAGTTTGTGGCGTCTGTGTGGTGTAGTGGATAGAACATCCGACTGTCAAGCAAGAAGACCCAGGTTCAATCCCCAGGGTTGGACCCAGACATGTCTGGACATACACCCAGACGTTGTGCCCTTGGGAAAGGCACTTTACACGTATTTCCCCCCTAAGTTAGAGGGATCCTGGGCCCTGCTAGTACAGGGTTTGGGTTGGCGTTAGGGAGGGCATCCAGCCGTAAAAATCTTGCTTAAAAAAAAAGACTTGCACTTGGTGCAAGCACGTCTAACCCCTGGTTTGGGGAAAAATGATGTTAAAATTATATGAAGAAGAATGAAGGATTAGTTTGTGCTTATAAATCTGCTGAGTTTGAGAGCTCTCCAGTGTCACTGACGAAAGGTACACTAAGTGGATGCTACCAAGCACCTGAAACGTCTGGCCGTTTCCAAAATCATTATCCAGTTGCTTGAGTAACTGTTTATTGGCACATCTTATTACTTAGATGTCTAACCTTCACTGACGTAACAAACAGTTTGTTTCATGATGACAGGCTTAGAGGCATCCAGTGCAATTTCAGGATGGTAAAACCAAAACTACATGTATTCTAGATGAGGAAATCTGTCTGATATTGACATTTACTGCCATTTCTTTGCACATTTTTGTCATCATTTCATAGGATATTGGAAGAGCCCCAAAACAAGCTATGCAACTATTCCCTTTATTTTGGGGTACCACCAATAAATACCTACATTTGTAGAATCAGCCTATGGTGCAAGACAAGCTACCATTTTCAGCAATGTTACATTTTTGCTATGTGGTAAGAGGTCTCGCCAAAAACAATGCCATTGCAAAAGTTTCTGCATTTACAGTACCATGATAAAATGAAAATACATGTACATGTATGTTGTTTACCTTTATAGACACTTGTCCCTTTTCCTGCTCCTCTCTCAGCCTTGTTTCCCGTCTCTTCAACAGTTCTGACAGGGAAATGCCCAGGTACTTGGCCATGGTCCTGTCCGAGTGGCGCTCCACCGGGGCGTTGGGCTTACGTACCAGGGGCAGGTATGTCTGAGGAGGGAAGGTTCAGATTGGCTTCATTGTGGAGGAAACAAATACAGGCACTGTGCTGTGCTGCAAGCGTCATACCCTTTTTTTAAAATTTTTTTTATGGTGTGGTACAATGCAAGGCCTATACGACCATGTCTCGTCATTGAACTAGAAAGATGAGAGAAACATGGCTATGTCAAGAAATGGCGGTGAACGTTTGATTTGAAAGCCTGTAGATTGTAGGTTGGTGGGAAACACTTGTCAGGGAGGGAATTCAAAAGCTTGGCTGTATGGGGAAAGAAACTACATATGTATCACTGTAAAAAGATTTCAAACAAGGAATTTGGACGGTGAAGTTGTGAGAGCTAGTGGAGAACCTAGTGGAACGCTTAAAAGTTCTGAGTGGTGGAACTAGTTGGGTGAGTTCTGCAGAGCAATGACCATGAAAATATCTGTAAAAGAGGGATAGAGATCGAGGCAACATTTCGTCTATGGGAAAGTTTTCTATTGTTAATATGTCTCTCACCATATTTCTCTGCTTCAGCAGTAGCTCAAACCTCCTCAGCACCATACAGTCTGTCCTGCCTGGGATCTCATTAGCAATGGTGGACCATGCTGGAGGGGGAGGGGGACAAGGTGAGATTAGAACTACAGTAGAAAGGTAACATTTGCAAAGCAAATGCATAATGTTTACCCTCGCATATGGTCTGCTCTGTTAATTCTTACTCAAATACATTATATATATATATATACATATATATGACAGTCAGACAGGAGTATAAATCCCTCCTACTATAAAATTGCAACATTACGTAACCCAACACCAGTTACCATGGTGAGAGACGTCAACAAATCAGATCAGATTGGCCAGGTCAGAGGTCAGTGTTTGGAACAGAAGAAGAAGACACAGAGCAAAAACAATTATGTTTTCCTTCGGTAAACATAAAAATGTATTGTTTTGGGTCACCACATGCTATTTTATGCTAAGTTTGTATGCTTGGGTTCAGTAGTGAGTGGGTGGAGATTGATTTCAATGTCATTTGATTGACAGGGATTGTTACATTCCAATAGTTACACTGTACAATGTATGTCCCTAAACCTCCCCTGTTCTGACATTGGTACAAGTACATGTACATGTATGTTGACAGTAGTGAGTATAGGGTATAGGATTTTCTTCTAACACAACCAGTAAGGTTCTCACCTGCTTACGTTTCGATGTCTATCAGACACCTTCCTCAGAGCTTCTGACTGGAGTTCTGCAACTCGCCGCTATTTAACGCCAAAGTAGGTGGCGCTTTTGCGGCGAGAATGCAGTCCCAAACGTGGCTGAGCTTGTATCCCCCCTCGTTCCGTAC